ACTACAACTGTAAACCGTAACAAAATCCCAAAACAAGGCCTTTGGAGCCCGAAAGGGCAAATTAGCAACAAAATCCCTGGAGGGGCCCTTAAATGATACTAATCATAATAAGATCCCTTGGCAGGGCCTCTGAGTCCAATCCACACCTAAAGGGCCGACAAAATCCAAGAAAAGGGCCTTTGAACGATCAATTAGTAGCGTCTAATTTAAGATGGAAAATTAATTATAGCAAATTCTATTTTTTGAATGAAATTCCTTTCTTTTATTCAAACCATGGGGTGCCAAAGAGAACAACTGAGCACTCCAATAAGCCTCTTTTGTGATTAACAGCCTATTGATCCCTGCAGAGCCACTAGGGGCCTGTACCTGATCAATGCATTGGAACGAAAAATCGTACAGGGTGTGTGGGGTTTTGTTGAAGTGTATCGCTACTTCACAAGTTGTTTTGTTTGTTAGCATAGTAGATTTGTGATTTCGAAATCTCACTTTAAAGTCGGGGGTAGTAGATTCCAGGTATTGCAGGCGACATTTCTGACAGGAAGCCAAGTAAATCACATTTTTAGAGTCACAGGAAAGTCTAGAGTGAATGGTGTAATTTTTGCCCGTCGGAAAGCTGAGAAGTGATTTAGATTCAACAAAGAAATTCTGACAGAGGTCGCATCTTTTCCTATCGCATTTAAAGCAGCCATTGTTATGAGGAATGGTTTGTGTCTCACTGGCAGTTCTAAAACAAGATGGTGCTAACAATTCTTTGAGATTTTTTGATCGACGAAAAGATGGTATGATAGAACATTGAGGAAAAAGTTCTTTCAATTTGGGGTTAGATTGCAAAATAAACAAATGCTTTCTGATTATGTTGCCTACATCAGGCAAGTTAGGATTAAATGTAGTAACAATTGGAAATAGTTTCTTCGCTTCTTTTCCACGAGTCCTGAGTAAATTATGTCTAGGGATGGCGGAGGCTTTGGAGAATTGTTTAGAAACTAATTTAGAAGGGTAACCCTGGTTAACAAGGTACTCTTTGTACTCAGCTGTTCTCTCGGCAAAAAATACAATTTCTTTTCAATGTTGTGGCTACTTCAATCTTCTGGCTACTTTTGTATTTTTTCCATTGCTTTCTTTTTAATTAGGTTTTTTGTTTATTAGCACCAGTTCATTAGCCGTTATCTGTAATTATGTAATCATTAGCACTTCGATCTTTAATGCTCTTTTTTAATTTCAAAAGTTGTAAATAACTGAAGAAGGTCTCTGACCAAAACGTTTTTTATGAAAAATTTTTTTTATATTTTTACGTCAGAAGTTGTCCATCCTTGTAGTTTTTTGTAGTTATAACTGCAGACAGAACTGTTTCGGCCTTCTGGGCCTCATCAGTTCAGTGCTGATGCTAGGATGGGGGAGGACCGAGACGGTCACCCCAAACGACCCAGCCTTTGTGGTATCGTCTAAGCCATGCCAGAGTGCTCAAACTAGAGTAAACTAGCAAGCATGTGCTATAATTATATATATGAAGGGACATTAATGAGAGAAGTTACATGTTAATCACTTCTGGGAGTTAAAGAGTCAGTTGATTCACTTTGCCTGTCTCCCAAAATGTAACAGGAGGGAAGGCATGTTTTAGTTTGTCCCAGAAGGATGGCAGGACTCAAAAGAAATATGACTCAATGCCTTTGTCAAATGTTTATTATGGGCAATTTTGGCAATGGCAAACTTACATTACAGTACCCTACCCTCTCTTCTTTTGTCTTTTGCACTGATTGGATATTTAAATGATACAAATACAATATTGAGAATTCTAGTGCATGTTAGTGTCAGTAGTGATCAGCAAACCTGCAGTAGGTCAACATTTTTGCTTAATATAGATCATTAGGGTCATACAAGTTCCCTTGCTTAAGTATAGCCTGTGGAGCAGACATAATTTTGGCAATCAAGTGCTTGATATTTTCTAAGTGAGAATGATGGCTGTCATCTTTGATTTGAATGGAAGCAGAGGGCTGGGAAGAGAAATAAAATTTTTACAAAGGGGGTGACGGACAGTGAAAAAATCAGGAGGGGGTGAGGGTGGGGAGTGAATATTACACCTTCCTTCCCCTTTCCCCCACTGTTGACTCAAACTCCAAATTAAACATGGCCGGTTGAATAAACAATCATGTGCTTCTTAATGTTAACTCTCCCTAATAAGATGCCTGCACTGCAGGCTAACTTTGGTACTTAGCCTGAAAGAGTTTCAAAGAAGGCATGTACACGTGGTTTGACTTAGATTATATATATGATGATTTGTTGTAATTAATTTGTTTAGACTCCAAGTGTTGGCCTTGTTCAGGAAGTTTTGGGATGGGGCTGGCTGTCATGGGGAAATGCTGGTCATACTTTGGGTCCTACAACCTTGGGTAGCCTTGTGGAAATTGGAATAGCTCACATCTGTTGTGCTGAGAAGTGTTTTCTTGCAGTTACCAAAACTGGCAAGGTTTACACTTGTCTGTACACTACAGAGGGACAGGTGAGAGAATCTGCAAACAAGGAGAAATAAATTGTTTTGATCTGTTAGTGCTGTCAATGTTGAAAATGTCAGTCTCCTACTTTAACAGGAAAAATCATGTTCAGTTGTTGTTGTGATCATTTTTTATGGTTTCTGTTGTTAATTTTACCAAGCTGGAAATTTATTCTTATAGGGTCCAGTGCTTATTGAATCCTTGGCACAAAAGTGCGAAATAATCAAAGTTGCCACAAATCCAGAATGTAAACATTTTATGGCTCTGAGCCGAGAGGGTGAGGTATACTCCTGGGGATCTGGGGACGGTGGCAAGTTGGGACATGGAGACAACAAGTACGAATATATTTGTGCATCTTTATTCGTTCAACTCTGTTGTTAGATGATGGTAACTGTCGATGATTTTGGTTGATGAAACAATTTCAGAAGTACTATTTGAATCAGAAAAAGTTGTTTTATTAAAAAATGTAAGCTAAAAGCAAGGTTCGTACTTTAAGAAAACTTTGACCTGCAACAGCACTGCAAGCACGGTTCAGTTCAACACCCTCCTTTGAGCAATTATCTTTTGAGATGTGCACTGAAGATGCTGAAAACATTTTGATCTGATTCAATGATAATGAATGATTAATTAGTGTTAAAAATAATTTTTTAACTAAATTTCCTTGTCTCTAGAGCCCTGAAATTTGGGACATCAAATAAGTTTGATAGTTAGACTAAGTTTACTTTGTAAATGTTTTCTCTTTGTTAGTTTCTATGATGAACCAACCCTGATCACTGGTCTTGCTGGCAAGCAAGTTATTCAGATTGCGTGTGGTAGTAGTCACAGTGCTGCTGTAACATCTGAAGGAGAGCTCTACACTTGGGGCCGAGGCAACTATGGAAGGCTAGGACACGGTAAGCATGATTAAAATAGTGGATTTGTTTGTATGCTAGCGTGGGTGAGCACATGGCATTCAGGATATTCCAATGTTTGTTGTTGTATTTGTTTAGAAACAGGAAACTTGGTTGGAGAGCAGTAAGGAGGGTAATAAACAATTATTCAGTTAAAAATACAACTGTTCAAGATAGAAGCAATAACTGTGTAGAGTTTATTAATTTTTCTACTTAAAGCTCTGGGCCACTGTTTAAGTCAGGAGCCTATAATGATCATACAAGAATGACTTTCAACCAGAAAGTCAGATCAGTACAAGGATTGACTGGAAAACAGGAACTTTTTCATTTGCATTATCTAATTTGTTTTTTCCATGCTAAATATGTTTTCATCTTTGTTTTCAGGCAGTAGCGAGGACCACCTTGTTCCTGTGTTGGTTAATGGTTTACGTGGATTTCACATCATAGATGTTGCCTGTGGAAGTGGTGATGCACACAGCTTAGCAGTAGCTGATGATGGTTGGTGTATTGGTGTTCTACAGTGCACTCTCCAATTGAAGCCTGTATTATCTTGAATGAATGCAACTTCTTGAACCCTTTGAAATATCCCCTTTGTCTCGGGAGATTTATGACATCATGTGCCAGGAACTCCTCTTTTCTCAGTGGTGCAAATGTTGTTAGTTCACATGATACTGCGAGTGACAGTGAACTTAATTTATGCATAGTACATTAATTATTATATTACCTTAACTAAGAATGGCTGCCTAGAATAACATGAATTACATAGACATACTCATTGTCTGCTTTCAGGCACTGTGTGGTCCTGGGGAGATGGAGACTATGGCAAACTTGGTCATGGAGGAAGTGATAGTTACAAAGCTCCTAAAGTTATAGACAGATTACAGAGTCTGGGTGTCATGCGCATATTCTGTGGATCACAGTTTTCAGTAGCACTCACAAGAGATGGACAGCTGTTGGCTTGGTAGTTTTCTTTCATCTACATGTAGTTATAGCGTTCCATTTTCATCATTTTATTATTTTGGCATTCATGCATTCTTGTTACCACCATTGTAAGACTATAAATGTAAGATGATTTCCTAAGCGAGTAAAATTATGCAATTTGTTTTTGTCATTTTATGGAGCAGGGTGATAGAAAATGTGTACAAACAGGGCACTGACTTTTTTGTAACCCTTCAGGTGAATTCCCTGAGTAGAGCAGAAAGATGTAAGCCCGCCATCCAAATTTATGTATGTAATACGGGTTCATCTTCTTTCAACGTTGCAAACTGAGAACTAGCTTTCTTTCTCTGGAGATCCTTCCTCCACTTTTTGTCCTCATCAAAAAGTTCCTGAGAGTTGTGTTACATGTAACGTCATTTTAAATGATTTATAACTTTATCAACAATGACTCTTGACCAATGAGTGTGCGAGAATTTATACAGTTATTGTAAACATGAGGCTCGATAGGAACAGTGAAATACGTTGCTTATGTATGTGCAAAATAATATTCATGGTACTCATTATCCACCTGTATATGTATCTTTCAGGGGCAAAGGGGATGGAAGTCGTCTTGGTCATGTATCAGAGGATCATGTGCGCTATCCCAAAGTCATCGAAGCATTCTGTGGAAAGAAGATAATCGACTTTGCTGTTGGCTCAGTCCACTGCCTGGCGGTGACGGAAGATGGTGAAGTGTACAGCTGGGGGTGGAATGAACAGGGACAGCTAGGTGACACCTCCTGCACGAACAAAGCTGAGCCCACTCTTATATCATCCTTAGCAGGCAAGGAGATCTCTGGGGTGGCTTGTGGTCCTGCACAGGTTGGTGATGTCCATCAACATGTTAAGTCAGTTACGAAGTGAAGCTGAGATTTATTTTAAAAAAAGGCTGTTAAAAGGACAGGTAATATTTTCTTCTTCTTAAACGTATTCAGTTACGCGTGCATTTTTCTCTGCTTATCAGAGTTTTGCTTGGTCATCTGCCGGACACTGGAATGTGGGGCTACGCCTTCCTTTTTGCCTGGATGTCTGTAAGAAGACATTTGAGTACCTTGATGCACTGTTAAGACGTGTTAGTGAAGACCTGACAGGAGCCCTCGACTGGCCCCCTCCCCCACAGGAGAAAGAATGCATTGCAGTTGCAACATTGAACCTATTGAGACTTCAGGTGAATGATGGGAACTATTTATTGAGAAGACTTCCATTGAACATCTAGTTAACAAATAAATTCTACCACAATGTTGCCGTGTGTCTGGTCAGCGAAAGATCACGGATGTCATGATGTCAAAATGTGGTGAGAACGGAAAAAAGTAGCACTCGAGGTGCAGCCGATTGTGTCACTGATATACTCACCACAGTACAACGTCTTCTGGGATTAATTACTGTACATGCGTGAGAATGCGTCCCCCTGGGCTCTGAGGCACCAGTGCAAACGAAGGGGGGAGGCATGTTCTCACGCATGCCACTCCACTCACAGTAACATGAAATGCATTTGGTTCCTAGGATCAAAAGGATATCTGTTGTTAATGGTGGCGTCATATATGCGTGCCTCCAAAAAATCTTAAGTAAGAACTAATCAGAGTACGTGTATAATTCAGCGTATTATATAATCAATAATTGACAATAGTCGATTCAACTTGTTCTTGTTGTTCCATTTATGAATAGAAATACAAGTTTAACTCAGAAATACAGTACAACAGTCACTGCCTATTCGTCGCCTGTCCTCCGGACATCGTAATAACTTTAAAGCAATTTTTTTCATTTGTGACCCTCTCTTCCTTTATTTTCAACTTAGCTTCATGCAGCCATCACGGGAAATGTAGATGCTGATGATTTAGGGTTGGGAGTCGGGAGTAAGCTGTTGCAGTCACTGAAACAACAAGTGGTGTCACTGGCCAGCAACAAAGGAGTGCTCAAGACTGTACAGTCAGCAGCTCAAGGTGCACTGAGCAATGGATGGGTTCTGTTGTTGCCCACGCCCGAGGAAAGAGCAAGGGCTTTGACAGAGCTCTTGATTGAAAGTGAGTGGTACAAATTAGCCATCTGATGCCTTTGATAGTGGTCTTCTTTTAGAGTAGATTTTTGTGGTAATAGGTCAGATATAATTGCAATGAGTGTCAAGTTTCACTCGATACCTACAATGCCATGGAAAGAATAAGTTGTAGTAACCACCCACTTCGTCCTCCTGCTTCTCCACGCCCCAGGGTTTTCTGACTGCCAAGTTACCTTGATCAGCGAAGGAGTGCTTCAAACGGTTTCTTGGTTTAGTTTACACAGTTCTTGACTTGTCGCTTTCCTTACTGGGGTAAAACGTTTGGTAGATTCAAAACAAAAACACTAGCCGTAAGAGAAAATTTGTAGATCACTAGTGCAATTCATCTTTATTGATGGACACTGCTTACTGCAAGTAGTGACTTGTTTCCTGTTTGTACTGGACAAACATTTCCAGCCTGCGACAAGGCGACCTCTTCACCAGCTGGGAAGAAGTTCATGTCGAATCTTTTAATCAAGAGTTTGATGGCAGAGGGGAGTCTGGAGTCGGCCTTGGAGACAGCCATAGACAATGAAATTAAAGGAGGCGCTGGAGAGAATGACAAAGAGAAAACAACAGAAAGCAAAGATAAAATCGCTGATGTCCCTCTTCTTCATCTCACCCAGCATCTTCTAAAGACATCATCAGCACAGGTGTTGGGCGAATTTCAGCAGTTGTTTCTAAAGCCACCAAAGTTACAGTGGCCTTACACTCCTCCGCCCCGACCCATGACAGTAGAGTTACTACTCAAGTTACAAAGGCTTCTTATCGGGAGCTTTTTCTTGTATCATGAAGATGAACGACCGTGGTATTTGGTGAAAGGTAAGTGTAGCTTGATGTGCTGGCGTGGTTTTGGCAAGCGAATGCTTAGGATTTGAAATTGGTTAGTGCAGAACTGTTTTCCCTCGAAACACGCCTGCGAGCCACTGAGCAAGTTTTGTAGTCAATTAAAAAGATAGAGACCGATTCTGTTTTTGGCGACTGTGACGTTGCCGTAGTTTTTTTGAGCAAGGCAGACCTGAAAAATCGTTCAACAGAATCATGGCCCCATTTCCCTCTCTGCGACCATGCTTTATACATACGGTTGATGATCTGAATTCTCCATTTCTTATTCTTTAATTGATAACAATCATTCAGCTGACTACTTTCAAACTACATGTTCCTACAGGTGAAGAAAGAGCTCTCAGTACCAAGCAACAAGGTGCGGCATTGCTGCTGCATAAGTATGCCACCTTGCTTTGTTCCCATGCTGGTGAGATCCTTCCAGTAGCCTCCTCCCTGGCATCCAACGGTCCGCGCCATTTCGTGGTCTCCTCCCAAATTGTCCAACGAGAGATGACGGGAGTTTTACTGCCTGAATTTTTGACGTCGATGGTTCTTCTACAAACTAGCATGCCAAGTGTTATGGACTCGTCCAGAACTGTGCCACTGGTAAGCAGTCTGTTGGACTTGTTAGACAAGTTTAACCGGCTCGCTCCTGGTGTACAGAAAGAGGACGAGGAGGACCTAGCCTGGCCGGGTGGGATAGGCAGTCCCACTCCAGCCCGACGGAAAGCCGATGGTGAAGTCACTTTTATTCGGCCCGAGGATCTGGAAAATCATAATAAAGATGGTGGACTATGGGTTGTTATTCATGGGAAAGTTTATGATCTTCAAGATTTCAAGGATCAGGTTTGTTTCTTTCACGTGGATACAGTTTCACTTGTAATGGCAGGTCGAGTTCGCTTTGTATTACGAAGTACACAGTGCATTGTAGGTTGACGACACAGAACGCGTGTTTGAGTCTCCTCACCCTTTCACTCCCAAGATCTCATTAGTAAATTCTCCTTGCTGTCTGCTATACATTTCTTATGATTTTAATTTGGTGAATTTGGTATTGGATCAACTAATAATTCCCCTTATTGATATATTCTCCAATCTCAATACTTTTCTGCATGGTATTGTATTACATACACATACACACTTTATTTAGAGAGGGTGGCACGGAATAGTTGAAGTAACTAGTAAACTTGTGGCCATCTATTGCCACCCATCCCACCCCAGGGGAGGACATCCACCACACAGTAATCTCGTGTGTGGGAAATTAACGTCTCCTACCCCTAACCCTGCAGGAGACGGGGCCTACGGTTTATTCCTCCTTATCCGAGAAGACCAGAATATCTATCCATTTCTTGATATTATAGAAAGGTAGCAAATTCTCCTCAGTTATTTTAAGACCATGAGTATTGGTATTAAGAGGAGAAATATTATATCTTGGTCACTCATGGGAATTTAAGGGTTAAACCATTAGATTTTGACTTTCTGTGCATTGACACGTAGAACACAAGAGAAAGTTTTCCAAGTTTCCAAGTTTATTTCGCACTATTCAAATTAATACGGTATAAGATGACGTATATAACTAGGTGAAGAAGATAATGAGAAGTAGATATCATGCAAGTTTGTATATCTGTGCACAGTGACCAAAGTAGCCGTAGCTTTCGTGTTGGTCACTGTCCCATTTAAGTAAATAGACCGGTCCAAGATACAAGCGTGAGGTAATAATAAATTGCGGTATTAAGAGAATAGTTCTTAATATAAATATGGAGAATGAATACTAGACTTATTGATACAGCACGATAATATACTACATTTAGAGGCTCTGCCCTTTAGAACTGGTCGCCGAAGGCTGTGTGTATTGTGGTGTTAGGTTTTGTTCATTCTGTTAGAACGCTTTGTGAGTTTGTTGAATGACGTTCTTTTACCGTTTTAGGCACCCTGTGGAAAAGAACTGCTACAGTCTTACGCAGGTTAGGAACTGTTTGTGCGATGATAATCCAATAGAAAAGTCTGTGAGATAGCTTGCGATTAAGGCGTGTTTATGGCGAGTGAAAAACCACTTCTCTTTAGTGAGCTCAGATTTTAAGGAAAAAGAATTCAAGATAGAGATAGGCATTTTCCACTGAGACTTGACCATAAGCCAGACGAGGTAGGTTCATGATTCATCTCAAACACCCCTCCAGCCAATCGTGAGCAATACATCCTCGCCTCCATGAAAGGTTACCATATACACAAACTCGCTATTAGCGCTACTCATTAATTCTGTAAGAGAAATTGTGTAAAACAGAGCCCAATCTAAAGCCCCTTCCCCCTTTCGTGGTGATGGATCCCCTCATATTACAAATACTTATGCCAGTTCCTTAATACTTCGATATAGAATGGTAACTGAACTGAGTGGATTGCAATTTGGTCCGAAATCATAGCAAAATTTGCATGACTCAAAGTTCGTATAACATCCATTTCGAAATAGCGCAGCTATATATTTGTACATGATCTGTTCAAATGTTTTGTTCATGCAGTTGTGAGGTGGTTCGTAAAAAGGTAAAAAAAAACTGTTTTCCTGCAATTTAATTTCTTTCTTTCAACAAGCAATTATTATATTTTAGTACTAAAAGCTTCCTCATTGGCTGGGAATAAGATGCGATTTATAGCAAAAAATGGTACGATTCGTGAATAAATCGCACCATTGAGAGCCACACAGATTACAAGGATCACCTGTGATTTCAAAATGGCTGAGATAAGTCGGCCATCACTCAAACCATTTAGATCTAACTTCGCTTGATAAAAGTGATTGATATGACTTTTTATTCGATTATTTATCCAGCTGCTGATGCAACTCAAATATTTGAGGAGACTAAACATTCGGTCGAGGCAAGGGAAATGATGCAGGCATTCTTTGTTGGTATTTTTGTAGAGGTATGTAACAATTCACATGTACATCAAAGTTTCTGTTTAAGGTGTAAAAGTAGCATTGAGGTCGAAGTAGAAACGAGATTTTTGCCGTCAGGGTGCCCGTTTTCAGATCGTGCAAAATTTGGTGTTTTGTATTGGACGGTTAAACTCACATGCAGAGCTCTTCTGCCAAAAACGAAATTTTACGCCTTGATTTCCCTGGTTTCCAGGAAACCAAATAAAGGAAAACACAAACTCGTCGAAGTTGCACAAACTGATCAACGGAATGAGAACCAAGTCCTAAACTAGATAACTAGAGATTGAAATAACAGTAGACAAGAGAAAGAATAAACGCGATTCGAACAAGCATGGTTTCATCACTTTACGTAGCCAAAGGTAAAGTGGTCATAGTTATGTCCTTCTCTATTGTAGCCTGATCAGGAGCTAGCTCTGGACAGTGCGTTGTCAGTGTCGTCTCCATTGATTGATTGTGAGCGCACGTTGGGTCTTTTGCTGGGGCTGTACGCCTGTCATCTGGCACACAGCACTCCTGTAAGTGTAGAAGAAGAGGAAAATGAGAGATGGCTGGCCTCTGATTTCTTCTCGGGTGGAATGGCGGCATCAGCTGAACCAGTTGGCAATGTTGGAAGGTAAGAGTTGTTCAACATATTTTTCAGTAATCTAGTGGCAATGGATGACATCGTGTGACTCTGATGCCTGACAGTTTCTTCAGAGGATTTTCACAACAGTCTAGCGGTGTTACTTATGATAATAACCTTCCTGGTTAAAGGTGGGAGTCCAGTCTTTGAACATGAAAGCAAGCTAAGATGGTCAGCAGCTAATCCTTCTCCGCTGAAATCAAGTTGTTCCAAGCCTTTTAATGGCCGAAAAATCCCTAAAAAGATGAGTTATTCTACTACCCTTTGTTCTTCCAGAAAAGAAAAGGAGTCTTCAGAAGACAAGCAGGAACCTTTTACACGTCAGATATCAAACAGTGATCCGGCCAAACCTTTCCTGCAGTCTCTCACTTCCAGCAAATTAGAAGATGGAACAGCTTTGAAATTCCTTGCTGCCGTTGAACGGTTTTGTAAACAGAAGCGTTTTATTCTGCCAGTTGAATTCCCAGCTGATCACCCGGTAGAGAAGGTGGGAAGGATGATGATGGCTTGCCTCTTAAAACACCAAGAGCTTGGTAAGTCTTCATGAACTTGTGCGAAACGCTCGAGCAAATCAGTGAGCGAACGTGGCCTAGGGATGGATAAACTACCAGACGCGACAAAGAAGGAACAAAACCGACGAAGGGCTAAAGAGCATTCAAAAGCACAGGGAAATGGAGTAACGAACTGGTCTATGAACTACTATTATTACAAGCGGTGGGGTCGAAGAAGGGGTGGGGGAACTTGTAAAGAGGTAGAAGTTTGCTTGTGCCGACGAACCATGCAAAGTACAGAAAGGGATGTGTCTGGCTTTGCGTTCGGTGAATAATCCAGAAGGCGTTTTCTTTGAGCATGAAATCTAACTTAATCAAATGTCACAACGATTCTCTGTTTTGTTTTGTCAGGGAATGCAGCTTTAAGTATCGTGGAGGGTGAGGGTTCGTCTCCGCCTTCACCTCACTCATCATCAGCTCAAGAGATAACAGCCTCAGGTCCTCCACAGAGCTCATCCACACACTCACCTGTTGTTTCAGTACCAAGACCTGTTGCTGAAGTCCTTAAAATTGTGTATCAGACCAAGTGCGCGCTTGTTAGGGTAAGCTACACCACTTTGCTGTCTCACAAGGTCTTCGCGCACAGTGAAAGCCGCGAGAGACGTTTCCGTTAGTAAATTACTAATATCGTTTTCGTTTGCGTCATTAACCTTGTTGCCGACTTTTTTCATTTTTTTTTTCGGAAGGGGAGCGGGGGTCGCAAGTTGAAACTATTAATGGTAGTTTGGCGTTGTAGTGGTTTCATGGTCTCCTTATCGTTTTAAACTTTCTTTAAGGCAAGACAAGAATCTTCTCGTTCCTATGAGGAAGTCTGCTCCCCCGCCCTGGAGAGATGCCAGTTCATTTTCACTGATCTACACCCAGCTATGTCCAGTGAGGTGTCCACACTGTCTCGTCTCAGGATACGGAACACCCGGCCTCGGTGGGCCAAGATTGTGCAACAAATGATAAAAGAAAAAAAGTCGGAGGGAAAAGAAGAGCCTGTTGAGAGAGAAGGCGCAGACGTTGTCCGTTCAGATGTAGAACAATCCGAAGAAAAAGCTTTGAAGGAGAAGGAGAATTTAGAACAGAAGGCAAAGCAGAAAGTATGAGATGTAGTCACTGTAGCTTTTTCGTCATCGTAGTGCACCGAAAAAAAAGAACTGAGTGCTTCTTGATATGCCATGCATTACGATCACACCAGGGTTCGTTTCTACAATTCTACTAGATGACCTGTAATAGGATTTGACATGCTAAGACGTGACTCGTATTTGTCTACACTGAAATCAGCATCCTGTTGGCCAAATAATCTCTGTCTTTTCGAAATTTTTCTACACGGTGCTGTATGAAGCGTTTGTGTCGAGACCGGGGAGAAATTAGGGTAGATCATGTAGACTTATTTTACCACCCCACCATCAAACCTCGATTATCTGGACCTGGGTTGTCTGGCTTTTTCGATTATTCGGACTCTCGATTATCCGGACTATTAAGCCAAGCCCCAGCTAGTCCAGATAATCGAGGTTTGACCCTATCGACAAAACAGTTGTTGTTATTATTGAAGACCTTTATCTTCTCTAGAATTGCCATGCCATAAATTCATTGGCGGTCCACTAAAACTGCTAATTGCAAAGTTCATTCTACACTTTTCAGCTTGAGGCACAATGGAAGTGGTTGTCATCTTTGTTTTTTATTGGTTTCACAGATTGATCACACCGCTCTAAATACGTCGCTGACTACTGCGCGGAAGGTGAAGTGGCTCCGTGAGCGGATAATTGGTTCGTCTACGGAGACATTGTTAATGAACCGCATAAAGGAGTTTATTCTTCACGATGAGCCAATAGATGTGGAGAAGCTGCGCAAATGTCTTCACAGACAGGTTTGTTTTTCGTCAGCCGTAGTTTGGTTAGTAAAGCCTCCCACAGACTGATAGAAGAGTAGACGAGAGAGGCTTTAAATTTATTCGATTTTCCTCAAATAAGCAAAAAGTGCTTGAAATACCTCGAAACCCCGAAACGTGTTTGAAATTAACTACCGAAGTGCATTTCAAGGACTAACGACGTGAAGTTCTCGCGTTTCAACGAAGTCGTTTCAGGGGGGCCACTTAGACCGACAGAGTCAGTAAAAAAATCGTCTTTGTAATTGCTTATGGTAACCTTCAAAGAGATAATGGTATTTTACAACATGATGATTTTGGCCTTTGCATGAAGAGAGTATTATAACTGTAGTAAGGACTTTGCTGTCACATTCACAGATGGAGAGGGGCCAGCGCAGATTGGAAGGAGCAGAAACTCTGTTGTCACTTGTATCCAAGGAATATTTCATCCCATCTGTTCGATACTCAATCTTGTGTGGATGGCAAGGTCTCCTGTCCACTCACACACAAGCGGAGTAAGTGTAGATTAGCGTAGCTACAGCTGAAGGTATAAGACTTGTTAAAGCAGTTTTTGAAGCGTAATGTTGGAAGAACATAGTTCTATTTCTCTTGAAACCCGTCATGTCCCTCCAAGGAAAGTCAGACCTTCACTCCTACTGAATGTCTTATTGTTCGTCTGATAGAAGATGGGTTTGTGTTGATATGTCCGTAAGGAAGTTACCTTAACATTGTTTGGACTTTCATTCTCGTCTAATTACATCTTGCCAAGACTCCAGTGTCTTATGGAGATTCGGACTTGTGCGAGACGTATACAACTCTCTGAAAGTTGAACCTTCTTAAGTCCTTTTATTTCTTACCTACTACAGCGAGAGCTGATTTTTATTTCAAAGTAATTCTTCCATCTGTTACCTATGGGGGCTGATTGTATGGGGTTCCTGCGGCAATTCGCTCATGTACATGCCGCAAAGATACATCATGTACATGCCGCAAAGATCATCTATGGCCTCGATTGGTACACACCTAGTGATTTGGTCTTAGCCCAGTGCAAGTGGCACATTTAAAAATTTATACGAACATAGATTACTTATCTTGGCACGTGACAGTTTTTATAACTTTTTACCCGCACACATTATGACGCTGTTTACGAAATACGAGTGCAACTATAACTTGCGTAGGAAATTTACCTTTTTATCACCAAAACCAAACACTGAAGGTCTTCGAAGGTCCACCTGTTACAAGGCCGCATCTCTATGGAATTCTCTTGACAATCATACGCGGGCAATCTCAAGCAAGAGCTTATTTAAAGATTTTCTAAAACACGAAACCTCATACGCTTAGTTAAATTTATAGACGAATAACATTTTAATTAATTTTTAATTAATTGGGTTAATTTTTAAATATTGGACCGTATTAGCTTAATTAGGTCAATTAGGTTGATTTTAAATCAAGGTTAATGAATCAATTAGGTTAATATTTATATACACGACCATATTAGGTTAATTAGGACAATTGGGTTGATTATTAAATACACGACCACATCAGCTCCGCTGTAATTTTTATCGTGTTTAAATAAATGCTGTTGTTGTTGTCTCCTCTCTCTCTCTCGACCTACACTAAGGCTTGCCACACTAAGACTTGATAAAAGCGTTCGCGTCCACGTGTCATTACTGTCTTGCAGCAATGCTGTTCCCCACTGTTTAGTTGATGTCGGTCTTATCCCGCCATATCATCGCGTCATTCTAGAAACAGCTTTCCGTAGAATCAGCAGTTGGGCTGTCAACACTTTACGGGAAGCGATCATCTATGCCAATGATACCTTTAAGAGAGCTGAAACAAGTCCTAACACTACCCCAGACGATTTTCACGGCGGTCTTTCTTTAGGTGCCCTACCTGTGGCACGGTTTCTTCTGGCAACCTTGGGTATCCTTACTGCAGAACACAACGCGAGTGACATGAGTCTAATATTGAACTCAGGTGCTGTTGGTCTAGCACAAACCATCATGCGCCTAGCAGGGCCCTGTGAGGCTACCGAAGAAGAGGACGCCAGCGTGGCTGCCATCATTGATGAGGCGAAGGCAGCAAAGAAGGCCCCCATCATACCCATGACAGGACCGGATATGGCGAAGAGAATGAAGATAGGAATCAGGGTGGTGCGAGGCCCAGATTGGAAGTGGGGTGATCAGGTTGGTTTTTGTGTGTGTATCAACTTCAAATTTGTTACTTAAGAGCTATTATTCTTGGAAAGGCAATGGAGGTTCCCCATGTTTTCCTTAGGATGGGCCTCCACCAAGCGAAGGCCGTGTTATAGGGGAGCTTGGAGAGGATGGCTGGGTGCGCATTCAGTGGGACACAGGTAGTACCAATTCCTACCGGATGGGAAAAGAAGGAAAGTATGACTTGAAGCTAGCAGGGCCCCCTCCTGTCCCAGAGAGCAGCGAAGAAGAGGAAGAGGACATGAAAGGTAAACAGACCGCTTCATGAACTATTTCCTCATGATAATGTGTTTAACACTACCTTGCAGACTGATAGATAGACAAACAAACAAGCTGACAGGAAGGACAGCGAGAGGGAACGGCAGACAGACGGGCTGCAAAATCAGTGTTGGGAGGTTTTTGTGAGATTCGAAGAACTTTTCGTTGCTCGTGTAGTCAAATTTGTGTTGTTGATTTTCAGATGATTCAAAGAAAGAGAAGACAGAAATCCAGTCCACCCACCCAACTGCTTTGATTCGCCACTCGTGTGTTTGTTTGTTACAAGCCCTAGCAATAGGCTGTGGTCTCCATGCTAATAACTTACAGATCGAGAGTGTCAGAACGGTCAGCAGTCTTCTGCATAATCTCCTGGACGCAGGTACAAGCACAGGCACACCAACAAGTGGTAAGCGCCCTCATTGTGGTTTAGATAGACGAGTTGTTTGCCTTAACTGAATTTCAAAAATACAATGTAATGCTTTTCGTGGTAGTTTTAGCTAATTATATTTCTCGTTCAGTTTGATTAAGTCGAGTGTGACTTGTAAACATCCCAGGAATATTAGATTCAAAGCGAGCCAAAACAGTGTTCCTTTCGTGGTCTGACGTGTTTAGTTTTTTTCAGTTTTGCGATAGGACTTGGTGAGTATGCGCAGTAAGTGGATTTTCCTTCTCTTCCTCTGTTTAAATATCATCTCGGACGTTCCCTTTAGTCGTATTCAAGGCGAATTTTGATACAATAGTCTGTGGCTTCCTGAGTTTGGCTCATTTCTTAGTTAATGCATGTTTGCCCCTTTTTCGTGTAAAGGTCAAAGTGATGGCCTTGTGGTTGCGCAGCAGCACAGAGATTGGGCCAAGCTTGGTTTTATACGGGGTATTGCAGCCTCTCCTGTCATGTGCTGTTCCCTCAGTACCCCCCAGTGGGTGTCTCTCCTCCTAAGAGTAGTGAAGGGATCGCTGCCAGATGGCGACCTACTGCCTTCTAATGTGTCTGCTGCTCTTCTGCCCCGTCAGGTAATGGCTTCATGAAAGCGATTTGATATACCTTTTGGTAATTTAGTTCGGTAACCGGGTTATGTTCACTGAACGCGTCCAGCATGTTGGAACCTCTGGGATCCATTTTATTTGATGTACAAAGTGGTTAATGCAACGAATTTTCTTATTTGACCTGCTGGTAATTTTTAAGGAGTACAGCTTCTAAGTAAAACAATACCAGTGACAACAACAAAAAGAACAAAAATTTACTTGGTATCCTGGCTTTAAATATTTGGTTTAACTGATGATTACAATAAGTAAAGAGAGCACTGGCTGTCCTAAATAACTATCAGCGGCTGATAAGAAAAAAAAAGAAAAAAAAAAAAAAGAAAACCAGGGTGGCCATATGAAAAACAACGCAGCTACAATAAGATATATCTGAAGTCAGATTTGTGTACAAGCATTACATATGATTATTTTGTGAAGATAGACCTTATCTTAATGCCAATACCACATGTAGATATAGTATCAGAATTAAGTTAGTCTTCGTGTTTGATATTCTTTTGTTGTTGTTGTTTCCTCATTCCTTTTCCGTTAGATTTTGGCTTTGCGTTTGTTAAGAGCTGTTTTACCCTCGTGGGATGTGGCAAAGGCATCTTGCAGAATGTCAGAAGTGGTGGCTAGACTTTTCGCTCTACTTGGAAAGGTTTTGATGACTTGCCATGGAAGTCTACCAGTCCAAACGCCAACTGGTATTGGAAATGTTATATTTCAGAATATCCGTTCCGTACTTGAAAACTCTTTCACTTTTTTTATGCGTCTTAGTCTCATACTGTTACTCTATTTGTTATTATAATTTTTCCAATCCTGACTTTTTCTACCTACATCTTTCCAAGGCTGTTTTGACCTTAAACCTTTTAACTCCTAGAAGAGATTAACATGTAACTTGTCGCTATGATTTTGATACATTATCCACCAAACCGGTAATTTATCAGGTAGAGGTTGTTGTTCTGACCAAATGCTTGTAATTTATTTACAAGGAAATCTGTAGCAGCTGGAGGAGGGAACTAAAAATCAAATCTTGGTTGTCAAAGGGTTGAGGACCCAAGATCAAGGGTTGTAAATGTTGTTTGAGGGAGTAATTCTATTTTGAGACTCTTAAGATCTTTTTTTTTTGTTGTTGTTGTTGTTGTTGTACAGAAGTTGATACAAGAGCTAGTTGTACTGGCTCTTGTTTCCAAAGTGTAACTGAAAGGAAAGTTTTTCGCTAGACACTGAGGATAAGGCGAATCATGGAAAAGATAACTTGTAGGTCTTTGCTTAGAGCAAACTTGACTCAGTTATTTTCATTTTTCTTAACCGGAAGGAGAGAAAAGTCGTCGAAGTAGACGCAAGCCAAGAATCCCAGCATCGGTATCCGCCACTTACAGCAGCACTGTTGCAGAGGAGTTACTCGCCCTTCTACGCAAACTTCATACTCTAGAGGCCTGGAATCCACTCGTCAACGAGTTCATAAGCGCTCAGTTGAAGAGTATTGTTACTATGGTAACGTTGGCTGAGCCAGTTAAAGAAGATGGAGAAACGCAGGTAGGTCCTTCAGGCGGTTAGATTGACGGTGGAACAGTTAGTCAGTCAGTCAATCAGTACGTCAAACAGCCATTTTGTGTGCTATCGCTCGGTCGGTCTGTTAGATGGTCAGTAAAAGGTTAATCAGTTTCTCAGTCAGTAAGATATTCGATCAGTCAGTCAGTCTCCCACTCTGTCATACAATCAGTTTCTCTACCAGTCAGTCACTCAGTCAGTCGGTAGGACGTTTGATAAGTCAGTTAGAAAGTCAGTCAGTCAGTCCATCTGTCCGTCAATCAGTTGGTCGGTCGATTTGATGGCCAGTTGGTCCAGTCAGCCAGAGGTCGATCAATTTGTCAGTCGGTAAGAGTTCAATGAGTCAGTGAGTCAGCTAGATAATCAGTCATCGTTCAATGAGTCCGTCTCTCCTAGTTTTCATCCGTCAAACAAAAGCTGGCTCAGAATTGTTCCAGCGGTAAGTTCTACATTGCAGCACCTATTGCTGCTTTCTTGCGTTATAATGAAGTATCCTGTCCACTCACTCAGGCACAAGAGGGATCTTCACAACAGGCTGTAGACCAGGGCCCAGTAATGGCCGTGCTAGCGGTTATTGGTGGCGTGGATAGTAGGCCCAGACTGGGAGGACTAGTACATCACAAGGAGTGGGGACTAGGAACAGTGTGTAAGATTGCTCCGAATGGAAAAGTGACCCTACAATGTGAAGACCAACAGAAAGCAAGAATATGCTCAATATCACAAGTCAAACCGGTAATAAACGCTGTCCACATAGCTGTTTCCATACCGTAGTTCTCCTGCCCTCAGAAAGCGAACTGAACAGAAGTGTCGCTCACGAAATTAGCTATTAGCATTCATACTGGGTCCGAATTCTGAATTTTGTTTGCTTATGTCACCTAAGATTTTTTGCCTGTTTCCGTCGATGCTATTGCTGTTGTTGTCGTTGTTGTTGTTGTTGTTGTTGTTTTTTTTTTTTATGATAATGTTGATATGACTTGTGATTTGACCAGTGGCGATTGTGACTTCTTTAGGTACCAGTCGTTTCATTTTCAGTGGATAATCTTCCAATGTCGGATGCAGCTCTGGGGATCTGGGCTTCACTTGTCCGACTGGCGGGCACTGGGAAAAAGACCACTGTTACGGACCAAGAAAACTTTGAGCTGCCAGCAGTACCAGGGGAGGAGGGAGTGGGGACGGCAAGATGTCCTCCAGTTAGACCACTACTATCTCCTAAAACAGGAGGTTTGTTTCCCTTGCATTGCATTATGGGCGTGTCTTAGTGAGTGATCACTTGTTTCTTTAAATTTAGAACAACCTGAATGCAACTGCCACTACTTTTAGTGCCTTTTAGTTGGATTTCAAGTTTCATTTTAATTTGAAATCTAGCTTGCGGGAAGAATTTTAGAATCCCCATCGGCTGAGCTGCTTTAAAAGAGTCTTTGATCGTACTCTTACCCTAACGAGAAGGTTATACTTCTAATTGACTGATGGTAAACTAAAATCTTATTTAGGCGAAGAAGTGGACACATCACTGCTTAGGCAACAACAGATAACCCTTGGACTCCTCAAAGCAGCTCGTGTGTTGTGCAGCAGACAAGATAACCTGAGACAGATCCTTAACCATCAGGCGAGCAGTTCTGACGGTAGTAGCACGTTCTCCTTACAGCACTTGATGTGTTCAGCCATTAAACCTTCACCTGTGAAGGCGCTCTTCAACCGGGAAGAGTTAGAGGTGAGTATAGCCTAGTCGTTTGTCTTTCGTGTTTGTGACTGTCACAGGTAATGTTGATAAGAAGTCTCCCAAAATTCGTAAAGATTTTAGACAAGTTATAGAAACTTCCACTGGATAACGAAAGTTCATAGTCGCCAAATTCGAAGTAAATATGTTGGCAAACGAGTATTGTCACGAATCTCTATTTAAGGGCCAGTGATCCCTCCAAAGGCAGTTTGAAAAGGCGTGTGTGTGAAACTGGGGATAAGGGGTGGGGACTATCATATCGAAAAATTGGGCATTTTGAAGGTATCAAACGAAGGTTCAGAATTCATCTTAAATTAGTTTGTTGTCTTTATTTCTAGGCCGCTGCTCTCGCTGCTTGTCAATTCCTCGCTAACGAAGCCACCCGTCCAGCCGAGCCTCCAAATCCGGCCACGCCAGAACATTTAGAGCGGCCTGAGCAGGAAAAACGTCAGTCCCAAACCACCTCTAAGAAACCTTCCAAGACAAAACATCTTCAAAAAAAGAAGACTCGCACACGAAGACCAACCCCACCCCCCATGCCAGCTGCACTGTTAGTCCAGCAGCTAGTGGAAATGGGATTTCCTAGGAATAGGACAGAGTATGCGTTGAAAGAGCTTGGGGACGAAGAGGAACCTCGGGCCGAATTGGTTGTGGCTTGGCTAATCGATCATCCTGATATTGAGGTTGGTACAGCTTAAGAGTTTCCCTCTATTAACAACAACGCGAATTTAAACCGAGAAATCTACTTTTATTCTCAATCTTGTGATCACAAGCCTTCACCTAAAACGAAAAAGTACAGGTAGAAATAATAAACAAAAATTATTATTTCCTAGTTGGTTATTTCAAAGTCTGCGAGGTGCCAATTCGAAGTATTCGGAATGCTTTTCCTTTATTAATACCTAGTTGCTGTGTTTGTAGGTTACCGCATGGTTAGTTTTTGGGTTTGTTGATTCGATTGTAGGTTGTTTTCTTATTTTGGTAGTTACCCACTTCTTAAATAAGATTATCTGCGACATTAAGCCTTTAGCCCCTAAAAGTGATAAACATCTTATTTCTCCCAACAATATCACCCCTGAGTTGAACAGGAAGGTCCTGTGAACAAGGGATATGATCGCAAACTAAAGAAGATCTTAAGTTAAAGTGTTTGGCAAATTTTCTCGCAAGTGCCAAAGGGAATGTATAGAGAGCAGTATGAAAAACTCGCACACTGAAGTTAGGGTGTAAAGTAAAGCTCTACGGCAGTGTTAATAAATCCCGTCTTTTCTGTAAGCGGTAATATATTTTCTCTCCCAAACAGGTGCCAGAAGGTGAAACACGACGTGTTGTGCCCCCAGAGTTGTCATCCAGCGAGGGATCTTCTGACGTGGATGATGACGATAGCGATGTGGTGACCAGTTCCGATTCTGAGAGCAGCTCAAGTGATGGGGAGGCTATTGCTGTACCTACTGATTTCAAGAGGCGCAGTGATTTCACTGCCAATGATGATTACGCAAGGTACGTGCGAGATAACATCCAGGTTGGTATGATGGTTCGATGCTGCAGAACATACGAGGAGGTCCACGAGGGCGACGTTGGTCGGGTCATCAAGGTGAGTTCGCCTGTCTCCCTGTCTTTCTCTGTTTCTCTCTGTGTGTTTATGCCCACTTATTCTGTTTACTTATCCGCCAATATTTGTCTTTATATATTTGTCTGGTCTGCTGATTGATCTATGTTTGCGACTGATGATTCATTATTTCAGCTTGATCGTGATGGGCTCCACGATCTGAACGTACAAGGAGACTGGCAGAAAAAGAATGGTACCTACTGGGTCAGATACGTGCACGTGGAGCTGTTAGGTCACGACTCCTTTGGTAAGAAAACAATGTAATGCAGCCAGGTGACTGATGCAGAAATATGAGTAACTTTTCATTGACTTACTTCACGATAGTGAGGAAGTTTCGTCAGTGTTTCAATGAGTCAGTGGGACACAGCAGTTAAACGTCAAGCATTTGCTAGCGAATCAGCTTTAGCCGGTTGCGTGCAACAAAGCGGTCAAACGTCTGCACAATTGCATGCCTTCAGGCTGTTAGATCCAGGTTGTCATGCACAGCTTACAAAAAACCACGCGTGCCAGTAAGTGACGGTATTTTAGAGACGTATATCCGTTTTGACAAAGCTCAAATCAACAGGATACCCGCACTTGAATGCGCTTTGTTTGAATAGTCACCATTGTTTTCTTTTCCCCACTTTTGTTATCTCAGCCCGACGTGAAATGATCAAAGTGGGTGACAGGGTACGTGTAAAACCCTCGGTGACCACGCCTAAGTACAAATGGGGATCCGTAAACCACGGAAGTGTAGGAACAGTGGTGTCAATCAGTCCGAATGGGAAAGATGTCAAGGTGGACTTTCCTCAACAAACCAACTGGACTGGACTGATTTCTGAGATGGAGGTGGTACCTGCTACTCATCCTCGCACCAGGTGAGAGGTTTGAATGGACACCATTATTAACCCCCTACAGTATGCCTATTCTCAGTACAGTTCTTTATACATTTCCTAAGGTGCCGACGAGGAGAATTTGTTTGACAATCTATAACCTCTTTAGTTAGTCATCATTTCCTTTATTCTCGTGACCTTAATGTTCGTCTCACGGGTAATATTGGATGGAGACTAAAGAAAAATGTCACCAACTAAGGAAGCTTTTGATTGTTCAACAAATACTCCCAGTCTTTCTCTCCTGCTATTACGGTGTAAAAGGTCAATGTGTTTCTCGTATGGAGATCAGTGGCACACTCGGCTGCGCCTCATGTGCCACTTTTTTCTTCTTAGCACATTTTTACATCATCTGAGGTCTACTTATTTACAGAAATACGGCAACATCGAATATATTTGTTAGGTAGTAAACGTTTATGAATTTATACCATACGATCTTATTGTATGCCTTAGGTGCGATGGCTGCCACATGGAACCCATTGAAGGTCCTCGCTTTAAATGTAAGACCTGTCCAAACTTTAACTACTGCGAGACATGCTTCAGATTACGCCGCAGCCACCGACACTCATTCCACCGCTTTGAAGAACCAAACAGCATCCCGGTGAATGCTGGGAAGTCTGGCCGAGGAAAAAAGAAAATTTTGTCCGGTGGCTTGGGAGGACCAGAGCACATAGTCAAAGAATGGGACCGAGTGGTGAAAAGTCTCATGGTATCGTCACGGGAGACTCACGCTGGACGACTGATTGACGGCACGGAATCCTATTGGCAATCTGCAGGGTCGCAGGGAAAGGTAAATGAAACTTGCCAAGCAGAAGGATAGAGTATACAGAAGCTCTCTCAAAAGTCCAGGATCAAATTCTGGCCTGGGTTATCACTTTATATTCTTTCTCTCTAAACATCTCTCACTGAACAAAACAAGGTTGTGGTCTCAGTCCTCTCAGATCTGGACCGTTTGATGAACAGGAGACAGGTCACAAGAGAAAAATAATAAAAAAAAGCATGTGTGGAGAAGTATGTAAAACCAAATTCCTCTATCCTGAATTTTCTTGTTTCGTCATTTCTTCCTTTTTTTTCTCTTCGCAGCACTGGATAAGAATCGAGTTGTATCCAGATCTGCTAATCCAACGGTTGGCCATGACAGTGGATCCTTCAGACAGTAGCTACATGCCGTCCGTGGTGGTTATATCAGCAGGCGACAGCATTCAGTCCTTGAAAGAAATTAAGACTGTGCACATCAGTGCTACTGAGTCACAGTGTACTTTGCTGGAAGATGTCCAAAGGGTACGTTATAGTGTTTTCTCTCAGACGCTTCTAGTTCCATGTCTATGATAAGCGGTTAAACGAAAATGCTGAACCCTTTCTTAGTGAAGGTCGTTCTTTCGTTCTCATGTGTCCGACTTTGATTTCTCTTTTTGTTTCTGCGCGAAGTGCAGCTATTTTAATGCTTGTTCCGGTTTATTTTCTGTACTTTACATTGGTAACGTTAGGTTACGTGTAAGCTCTCAACATTATGATCATGATGGTGATCGTGATCGTCATCATCATTATCGTTATCGTTGTCGTTGATAATTTTCATTGCCAATACAGTTATCACTAACGGTATCGTTATCGTCTCTGCCAAAACTTTTGATTGTTCTTTCTTCATAGGAATATCGTTTTCTAGAAATCGGCATTAGGCAGTGCAAGAGTAGCGGTATCGATTGCAAGATCCACGGCATCAGCCTGACGGCTCGCACCAAGACAGACGAAGACGATATAGCGGCCAGCTTTTCATTTCTGGCGTTGGACGAGGAGGACGAAGCAGCCAGACAAAGGAGAGCGCTCAGAAGAAAGCCGACGACAACTGAGTCTACCCCCGAGGGGCAAGTCAATGTGTTCGTTTGGGGTCTTAATGATAAAGATCAGCTAGGAGGGCTGAAGGGTTCCAAGGTAAATTCTGACTGCATTGTGGAATTAATTGTGGAATCATACATGATATGTTATGTTGTAGAAAAGCTGCGATAACTGTTGTTCGCCTATGGAATTTGTGGCACAGTCGCGCAGTTATCTTCAAGATTGTACTACAATTTGGATACCACCACAATTCTATTTTGGCAGTGATGCGACGATGATCCCTTAAAAATCCGAAAAGTAATCAACTTTTAAATCCCGTCGCAATTTTCGGAGACCATTCAGAAACTTTTTATGATAATAATCAGCACTGCCAGTTAGAGAACCCTCAAATTCCCATCACTTTACAAGATAATTATAGCAAGTTCTGAGGGAATGTTACACTTTATTATTTAGGCAGAGCAAATAATGAAGTGTATCGACTGGGTTGTTGTGGGTCAGGGTTGTCTTGTGATTTGAAGTCTAAACTATCTCTTGGCAGCTTTGGACTGACGCTTAATTAGAGCTGCTTGCGCAAGATCGCTTTTTTAAAGGGATGTTTTCTATCTTTAGATAAAAATACCAATGCTTTCCGATGTGTTGTCTGCTCTCAAAGTTCAACAATTAAGCGGAGGCTAGAAGAGTTTATTCGCTGTCACTCTAGAAGGAAGAGTGTTTGCGTGCGGTGAATCCACCAACGGTCGCCTGGGGCTGGGCCCCATTACGGGTAACGTGTTAGTGCCACGCCAGATTGAGGGCCTAAGCCAGTTTGTTGTGAAGAAGGTATCAGTGCATTCTGGGGGTCGTCATGCCATGGCCATCACCATTGAGGGCAAGCTGTTCTCTTGGGGTGAAGGAGAGGATGGGAAGCTAGGACATGGAAACAAAATGTAAGATGCCGAGCATTTTAGCTTCATTGGCCTATCTGCAGTTCAGTTTAGTACGACTGGGTTTAATTAAAAAACACGATACGCAAACCATGTCATACATATTAGCAAAGGAAAACACGTTATCTGAAAAAAATAATGAATTAGTATGGTGGTAATTAGGGGGTACCAGTATCCTGGAATAACTTAGCTGGATTAATGATAAATAAAAGGGTTCTAGCGGAGGTACAGTAAGGCCAATATACACTAACTATACAGACATCACAATACTATGGGCAAAATAAAGAATAATAAATATATATTATATATATTATAATAAAAAACAATATTCGAAGAGCAAGCCGTAGCTACTCTAGTAACCGTTATGTTTGTCGATAATCCAGGAACTTCGACCGTCCACAACTAGTCGAAACCCTTAAAACCAAGTCTGTTCAGGAAATCTCTTGCGGAAGCTCACACAGTGCAGCAGTCTTGTCCACTGGGGAGCTCTACACCTGGGGTCTGGGCGAGTACGGACGGCTGGGGCATGGAGACAACCAGATGCAACTCAGACCCAAACAAGTACGTGCTTTGTCCGGAAGTCGTGCGGTAGACGTCGCCTGTGGCAGTCGTGATGCCCAGACCCTCGCACTCACGGACGATGGTTGTGTTTGGTCGTGGGGAGATGGTGACTTTGGAAAGCTGGGAAGAGGTGGGAGTGAGGGTTGCAGTGTACCACATATGGTGGAGAGGCTCAAAGGCCAAGGGGTGTGTAAGGTGTTATGTGGAGCCCAGTTCTCTCTCGCTCTTACAAAACTGGGCCAAGTATGGACCTGGTGAGGATAACGAAACTTCTTATTTATTTTGCAAACAAAACTCCAACGTTGGTTAGAATTTCTAGTATTCACGTGTGCTACACATGCGAATGTAAAATTTGCTTCATTGTGCGTGTTCTCCTTACTGTCCTCTATTCTTGGTTTTCACGTGACGTCATCAAAATTAAAAATAAGGAATTATCAATCCTTTTGAA